CAAAAAAAAGTTCTAGCAACATAATTAACAGTCAAATGTATACTTCATTAGACCCAGATCCTCATTTTGAAATAAAGTTTAATGGTTACATAACTGAAAAATCAATTTCAAATGATATCTTACCGCCAATTAATAATAATAATACATTAAATAATCTTTTTCCATGCGATGCACAAAAAAACTGCACACAAGTGGCAGAATCAAATCACAAAAGTTTTACTTCCAAAGATTTTTTTAGGCAAAAGTCCAGTTTTGTCCAAAAAAGCCTTTCTGTAAAATCTCATCAGGGAAGTTACTATAAAGATAATCTAGTAAAAATGAGTACGCCAGTGAATATAAATGATGGACTTAAATCATCTTGTGTTGTCATTAATCAAAAATCTTTCAATTTAAATAGCTCATGTAAATTAGCCGAAGAAATTAAATTACATCACTTGAATGAAAGCAAAAGAACATACAGCTGTTCTATTAATTCACCAGTTTCTACAAATTTTTCAAATTCAACTTTAGGTGACTCTTTTTCTGAAGATAAACAATTTTATAATATAGAAAAACAATCTTTTAATGGATTAGAACAGAATAATGCATTTCAAACGCTCTCAAATATTTCTGTTCAAAAAGGAAAGCAATTATTAGTTCATCATACTGAGCCTTTTACATCAGTTTGCAAAGACTTTAAGGAAATGTCTAATTTGCTATTTCAAAACACCAATACAAAAGATATTTCAATATCTAAGGATTGTAAAAAGACTATAGATAATTCTGATAAAAGTGTTATTCAATATGGAACAGTTGCTCAAGATAAAAAGATGCAAAAACCGTTTAGTTACTACGCTAGTCAACCATCTGAAGATATTTTCTCTAAAGAAATTGTTGAATGGCAAAAAGGTTTATAATTTTTTTTTCTTTTATGTTACTTAAGTTAAATTGAAATTTTTGAATATTCAAAATAATGTTGAAATTACTATTTTCTATTATGTTTACAGCTATCATAATAATAAAAATCATTGTAAAAAATAGTACATTTCATATTGTTTTTATAAACATCCTTTTTCTTTTAAAAGCTTAATAACTTGATTCTTGAATTCCTTCCTATCAAGCAATTTAAATTCATTTTGCAATTTGTTGTACAATTTTATTCCAATTGCAAAAGATAGACTTTTGTCAGCTTTTTTTGTTCTGGTTTTTTAATTGATAGTTATTTGCATTTCTTGTAAAATAATCAAGTATTTCATTGTTTTTTATACAAAATCTTTGAAAGACATTCATTTTCTGTTGTTGAATAGTATTTTGTAAAAAAATAGCCAGTTTAATCTGTCAACATATCATTACTATGTGTGAACCAGTCACATTTTAAGATTGTTCTCATAGCTTTGTTTTGCAACTTTTAAAGCATTTGAATATCATTTTCATTTGCATCAAAGAATAATGAAGCACAATTTTCAAAATGAAGTGCAATAATTGTATTAAAAATTATTGCCTTGGTCAGATACCTAGCAATTTTTATAAGATAACCAGTCATCTTAGCGATTTTAGCTGCAGTATAGCTAATGTGTTCAGAAAAATTCAAATTGCATTCAATTTTAATACCCAGGTATTTTACACATTCATGGAATTTAACTACTTCATTTTCAAGCTTGACAAATCTGTTAAAATTTTTTTTAGTGATACTGAAATTTTTACCTTGGAACTTGTAATCAATATACTCATTTACTTACAAACATTTAGTTTCAATCCATTTTAAATAAATCAGACACTAAGTACTTCCAATTCATAATTTAACTTTATCATCAATTCTTCATAATTTATAACTTCAATGTAGTTAATGTGTCATCTGCAAAGAGAATAATGTTTACATATCGGGTAGCATTGCCAATACCATTAATGTATATTATAAATAACAGGGGCCCTAGTACTGATCCTTGGGGCACATCTATCTAGTTGATAACTGATCAACAATTCTTACTCTTTGAGATCTTCCTGTTAAGTAGTTTATAATCCATTAAAGTACAACTCCTCCCACTTTGTAGCATTTTATTTTTTTAATTAATATTTTTTTATTAATGGTTTCAAATGCTCTTTCAAAGTCGAGCATAACTGTAATGATGAACATACTGCTATCAATTGCTGCCCTCCGTTTTGAAATGAGTAGTTGAACTGCTGTTTCAGTAGAGTGATTTTTTCGGAAGCCAAATTAATTTTTATTAAATAGCATATTTTCTTCAAAATAAGTAGATAACTGCATATGTATACATAATTCATGAACTTTTTCATAAACTGCTAATTTATTTAGTGGTCTCATGTCTTGTGGTAATTTGAGCAATGTCGCTTTCTGTATAGGTATTATAGTAGATCTTTTCCAAGTTTTAGATATGAAACCTGTTTTTAAAGATAGATTAGTTATTCCTTGTTTAAACCAATGACTGGATATACTTTTTTTTTAAATTGGTACATTCATATCTTAACCTATACTCTTTTTATCTTTAAGGTCACTTACTATTTTGTCAAGTTGGTATTTAAAAAGTTCTTTAAATTCATTCATTCCACTAACTGTGATGTTTTTATGTGAGTTTATGTGAGCAACACCCAGATAGTTGTTTAATTTTGTTATCGATTTTTCAATATCTAGAATACTCTGAGAAATTCATTGTATTTATCAGCAATCGATTTTTCATTTAAATCATAAAATGCGATATCTTTCTATATGTTAAATTGAGCTTTACACTAAGTTTCAGTAGGAAATTATTATTTTTAACATATGTGTATATATATATATATATATATATATATATATATATATATACAAACACATACATACATACATACATACATACGTACATACATACATACATACATACATACATAGCCAACATAAGTATTTAGATTAAATATTTTTATTCCTTTTTTAAAGCACTTATAAATCATATTTTATGCACTATTTTAATGTATATTATTTTGTAATCCTAATTTCATAGCTTCACCTGTGCTTACTTCTTCACTTCCATTCAAAGTGCTTACTTCTTCACTTCCATTCACCTGTGCTAACTCCTTCACTTCCATTCACCTGTGCTTACTTCTTCTCTTCCATTCGCCTGTGATTACTTCTTCACTTCCATTGACCTGTGCTTACTTCTTCACTTCCATTGAACTGTGCTTACTTCTTCACTTCCATTCAAAGTGCTTACTTCTTCACTTCCATTCAAAGTGCTTACTTCTTCACTTCTATTCACCTGTGCTTACTTCTTTACTTCCATTCACCTGTGCTTACTTCTATTAACTAAAAGTTTAAAACGCCAACAATCCTTATTAAAAAGTAGTGAATTATTTTTTTTTGTTTTAATTAACATGTACTTTTTAAATTGGCTTAATCTAAATAAGTGAATATACAAGGTTAACTGGTTTTGTTTTTTGTTACTTTTTCAAAATGTTCTTATTCAGTTAAATAAGATTAAACTAAACAATACTGATTGTGTAAAGATTATAAACAAGTATTTTGTTATTTTGTGCAAAGTTTTGATTGTTTTGTATTTCATTAAAGTGTTGTAAATTTATTGCAATTAACTCATGCGTCAAGTTAGAATAATTAAATTTAAAATAAATAAATTGAACTTTTTGATAGTAAAAAATAAATTAGTAATTAGTAGAAAGTAAAAAGTGCCTAAAAATAAAAGCAGAGGTTCTTGAATTCTAAACTTCAAAACACAATAACAAGATTAAACAGATTAAAAAAAGTATTTTCCCTCGCAGACTTGGTAACCTACATAGCTCTTTTACAGATCCTGCTGATTATATATATGAAATAACGGAACATTGCGTATTTTTATTTGCGTAGCTTTTTTTATAATATATGTGGAAATTATTTTAATATAATATAATATTTAAATTTTATGTAAGTTAATTTCAAGTTCATTTCAAATATTTCAATTTAAATTAAAGTCTCAGTTCGTCAAGTCTCAGTGCAGCTCTTTGGAAATGCTTTGTTCCATCATATCAAAGATCTATTGTAAACAGGAGTTGATCTCAATAACATTCTAATTGCAAATTAGAGAAAATTCAAAAATAAAAGTAATTTTAGAATCATTTCAAAATATAAAAAGTTTTTTTATAAATTAAAATTTAAAAATATCAAAATGCTTTGACAAACAACCAAATAAACTATAATAATTATAGAATTTCGGGATAGGCGCAGTGGAATGTTGCTACATCAACTGACTAAAATTGGAACAAGCGGAGTGGAGCTAACTTGCAAAAACAAAGGGTTTTTAGTAAGGGCAGGCAGTCCAAAAAATTAAAGTTTATTAATCTCAATATAAAAGCCTACTGCTCTGCCTTAATGTAAGAACACAAAAAAACCTATTAATGATTTTATTAATTCTTTTTAAAACAATAAAAAGTAATTGAAGAAAATGCAAATTCAGAACGGATGGCGCTCAAGAGCATTTGTGATTTTCTTTCAGATAAACCACATTAAACACTGGAAGGAGGAATGGTTTGGTGGTTAATCTAGAAGAGATGATAGGAAGAAAACCTCACACAACAGGTTATAGTTTTCATCAAAATGAATTCCCACTAAAATCTCTTTTTTAAAAAATAGATGGAAAAACATCTATTCCACACAATTTTAATAAGAAAATTGAGATCTAAATTTCAAGTACACTTTGAAACAATTCCAACTTCAATTACTGAAGTCTATAATTCAGACTAGATTTTAAAAGATCTTAGCTTTGACCAAAGGCTTTTCTATATAAGAATTTCAGAGGTATTGGATTAGATAAAGTAGATGAAAAATGGGCTATTTGTAAAATAGGGTTGTTAAACCATGCACAATGGTTAACTCATTCAATACCTATTCTTTGTTTTATACACTTAAGATGTATTTCCCAACACAAGCAGCTTACCCATTACATTGTAAACTTTATGCTTTGTTAAAATAAAAAAAATTCTCAACTGCAAGATTCACCCCAGATTCTTCACTATTAACCAATTATAATAAATTATTAATCAATAATTAACATTTTGATATTAGTTTATCTGTATATCATTTTTAAAGCTGTATGCAAAGCTTTTTAAAAAGATGTATAGTATTTTTTTTAAGAACTTTTACAAAGTTTTACACTGACATTATTTTTGAATAAGAATATTTTTATTTACAGAAATAAAAGTTATGGAATAGAAAAAAAGATCCCTTAAAGGAATTGGAATGCTGAAAGCTGGATTTCTTTGCCGATCTTACTTTTATTTTTTCAAAATAGAGCCTCTCACTACAAAAGTGTTTTAATGAAGAATTTGACACTTTGATTTAAAGTAAAGCCAAATATTCAAGACCTATCCTCTCATTCCCAGAGTAATGAGAGATGTGTGAAATTAGTTTTAGAAGCATCTAATGTTGTATATGGATTTGAATAAATCTATTTCTAACAAAACTGCTTAGTCAAAAATTGTATCACAGGTTTACGTTGAAAAGATATTTTGCAAGCAAGGAACTTTGTTACATGCTTGAAATAATTATATATTATAATTAGTTTTAGTTCTATATATTTTTTTAATGACTTATTGAATAGATAATGATTAATTGTTTGATTATTGTAAAGTTAATTCCATACTTAAATTAACCTGAAAATAAATAAAAAGTTTATACATAAAGTATTTTGCTAATACCTGTTATATTAAATGATTAAATAAAAATGAGGATATATGAAGACAAATATGTCTTGCTTTCTGAGAGAAAAGCATCAATAATGAAAAGCCTTCAAAATCATTAATGGTCCTTTTAAATTTAAACAGCTGTTTATGTGATCTCAAACTTTTTTATAAAAATCTAGTTAATTTGCTTACTAACTCATATAACACACATTCTGCAACCTTTCTTTATTACCATGTTTAAAGAGATTGGTGCAAATTAATCTACAAAAAGAATGCTTTTAGTCAACCACAAGCTAAACTTTTCAGTTTTGGTGATATTTTCACACTCACACACAGTCATTGGATTTGAAAATGCTGGTTTGTTTTTACACAATATAAATTAAAAATGATTTGTCAAAATTACAAGTTGTTAATACATTTGAAACATTTTTTTCTGAATCTACACCAGCAATATCTAACACCAGTATATTTCGTATAGCATTAGTTACCATGTCAACTCCATAGTTAACTCACCTGCAGCCAACCTTCAGCATTGTAGTAACTCTGACAATGAAAAGGGAAATTCAAAGAGAAATTGAAAAGCAGTTGCAATTGTTCTATTTGTTTGCAGCAGCTTTTGCAACAAATAAAGTCAATGATAAAAAGTGCTGTAAAGTTTTAAACAAAGCTGGAAAAAGTGAAAACAGTAAATGGTAACTGTGAAAATAAAAAATGCACGACCTGGCTTTGTCAAACATAGTCAAGTCAATCATAATGTAATATATAAAGCACCAAGTTTTATTGCACCAAAAAAAATTCATATTAATAAAAATAAGAGTTAATAAAAAATAATAAAATAAAACAAATAAAATAACAGTCGATGTGTTTTGTCAAAACTAAAGACATTAAATTTACAGTTTAAAAGATTTTCAAACTTTAGGGTTTAGCAAGTTTATAAAGTGAATTGAAAAAAAAACTTTAGAAAGGATCTCAGAAGAACTACTAGTTTGATGTAAATTTAATTAGAACTACGGTTGATGAAAATTTAATTGCCTATATTCTATAATTCTATAATTTATCGAATAGCCAATCAAAGAAGAGGAACAATCAAAAGTTGATTGTTCCTTTTTTATATTTTCTAATATTTTCTAATATTTAAATAACTAATATTTAAATAATACCTAAAAGCCCTAATACTTTCCTCAATACTAGTCCATAACCTTCTTTACATTTTTAGAGCTCTTGAATGCCAAAAACTAGGAAGAAATAATAATTTTGTGACTTTCTAATCCGAATTCCTTTTTGGGACTACTCATACCTGGACTGGACTGACAAAGAAGGATAGAAAAAATTTTTTAAGGCAAGAATTATTGGATTGTTGGAATGAGGTCTAAAAGATATAATGTAAACTCATTAATTACAAGTATGTTTACTATTTTGCTCTGTTTGTAAATGTTATCAAAATATTTCTCAAAATTAAACTTTTAAAACTTTTATGTGATTTAATGAAAAAAAAGTTGTTGCTTGAGAAAAACTTGGTCATGAGTAAAATTTCTTTTAAGCATAGGTCATTTGATGAATAAAAAAACACAGGTCATTTGCTGAAAAAAAAATGTAGGTCATTTTTTGAAAAAACTGTTAATGTTTTTTTTGAAACGCTTAAAAGGTTGTTGCTTGAGAAAATCAATGATTATCAGTTTTAAGAAAGTTGAAAAAAAATATTTGTTCGAGACAAAGTTGTAAACAAAAGTTATGTAGAATTTTATTGTTTTTTTAGAAAATTTAAATGTAATAATTTTTTAAGGAAAAATGATAAATCGTGGTGCTTTTGGAACAGTCTATCTTGGTTTAACAAATAAGGCTCAACTGATTGCTGTAAAAGAAGTCAAAATGGAAAATGAAAATTTTAAAAAGGTATTGAAAGGGAGATACTTATTTTTTAATTTATATTTTTGTTAATTTTACACTTGTTTTAAGACTAAAAACATTTTTCTACACAATTTTTTGTTCCAGACTTTTTTATATTTACTTTTTTTAAAAAAAAAATTAATTTTTAGTGATTTTTTTTGGCAATTTTTTGACAATATACACAAAGAAGGCATTTCTTTGTGTATATCGTCATATTATAAACATCTCTCATTTTATGGGTTAGGTTTTGTTAACTCTCCAAAAAATAAAGTAGAATTGTTTGCAAGTATTTATTTAAATTATCTTTTGGTTCTAATGACCTTTTCAAATATCTATTACTAACTTTCTTTTACATTCATTACTAACTCTTTTCTATATTCACAAAATTGTTTAACAAATGCTTTTTGGATATTTGTGTTTAATATTTTTAATTTCAAATACTACCAATTCATTCTTGTCATGATAAGAAGCCAACACTTTCTGATAGCTTGGATGGGGCATATGAGCTTGAAAAAAATCTCACTTCTGCTACAATATGGGGCTCACAGTGGCTGGAGAACTTTAATTCAGATGAACCCAATTTTTTTCAGCCAATCATTGTTGCAATAATTTAGATCTTCCTATATTTATGAACAGAATGTACTCGATGAGTACTCAATGAGAACATCTACTCTTCATCTTCTAGGATTAATTCTTACTTCCAATCTTCGACTGTTGCATCTCTTTATCATGCTTCACACTTTCTTACTCCGGATTCTATTCTTTATCTCTTTAAATCTCAAATCTGTTCTTGTATGGAATACTGTTGCCATATCTAGGGCAAATCTTCCAATGATGTCTTTTCTCTTTTAGACAAGGTGCAAAAACGGATTGTAAACATAGTTGGACCTGCTCTTGCAGCCAACCTCCAACCATTATCACATCCTTGTAATGTTGTTTCTCTTTCTCTTTTCTACAAATACTATAATGGGCACTGCTCTAAGAGCAAGCATCTCTTGTGATATCTGCTAAAATTCATTCTTGTGTTACTTGTCATTAAATTTAGTCTCATCCTTTTTCTGTAACTGTTTCTAATTGCTTTGAAAATTCTTATTTGTCTAGTTTTTTTCCTTGAACATTAGTTCTTTGGAATTTGCTTCCTTCATCTTGCTTTCTTGATTCATATAATTTGCAATCTTTTAAGTTGTCTGTCAATTGTTATCTTGCTCTACAAACTTCATCTTTTCTCTTCCAGTAACTTCCAGTAACAGTAACTTCCTACTCTAATAATAGTTGCTTGCAGCCTTGTTGGAGCGAAGATGTTGAAAAAATAAAAAAATGTTCTTTAGGCTGCTTTGATTATTTGTAATATTATTTAATAAGACCTCATATTGTTATTACACCAACAACACCAACAATAACAACAACAACAAGCTATTTATTTTCTGGGATTTGTTTTTACAATATATTATTAATAATAAAAATATTAATAATAATAATAACAATAATAATAATAACAATAATATATAATAAGAATAATATAAGATAAAAAAGTTAATAGAAATTATAGTAATATTAATACAAAGTATGTTTACAATAACTACTATGAAAAAAAAAATAGTAATAAATATTATAATGGTATTTATAAGCATAAAATTATTTATAATATTAAGTTGATGATTTTAATGATTTATTAGGATGGTGTCACTCATAAAGAAATCTGATCAATGGAGTGACACTAATTTTGATTATAATATAAGTAATAAAAAGCAAAGACGTGCATTGAAAACATATGGACCGTAAACACATAGATCATAGAACATACATTAAAAATAAAAATGTAGAAATCATAGTTTGCAGATTTTAATAAAAAAATAATAATAATGAAATAAACAAACAAAAAGTACTCATGGTAGTTGTAGTAATAACGAAAAGAAAATTAAAAGAATATTTTAATAAGGATAATAATGTCTAAAAGTTAGAATAAAATGTTTTTCAGAATTTTTCTAAATTGATTTTGTTTAAGATGGAGAAAAGGTATTTTAGGATGTAATTATTTAGACTCATTCAAAATGCATACAAGGCTTCTGTTCCATTCAAAAACGCACTGATGAACAATAAAATGTTAACCATACTTCTGGGTTTTAAAAGATGCTATGTTTAGTTTTCCATTGTATATATTTCTAGTAGAGTAGGAATGTACTAGTCTACTTTCCTGGAACAAGTATTTAATTAGAATATAATACTTGTTCACAGTATTAAATGTTAGAAACCCTCTTAAGTTTTTAATAAAATCTATTGACCTATCTATAAATTTCTAACAATTAAAAAAACACCCAGTTGAAAACTTATCTCTTGACATAAATAAGAATTTCAACAAGGTTAGGCATGCTGGTCTTCTTTACAAACTTTTCACTTTTTCATTTTTTTAATTTTTTACATGGTTTATAAATAAGATTTTTGAAGTAATTGATTTTTTAAATCCAGTTATAATTATGGGTACCACAAAGTTCCATTCAAGTTCCCATATTGATGTTACTTAAATTTATCTTTTTAACACTCACCTCTAAAGTTGCTTTATTAGCTAATCTCTCTCTGTGGTTCTTAGTGGCTAGTAAGTTTAGACAGAAAAATCAGTTATTTTCGGTTGCAGTCTTAATGGGAGGGAATTTCCCAATGTTAGCCCAACATGTTGTGCTGCTTGGGTTTTACTAAAAAAGACTAAAATTTGACGCAGGTGTGTTATTATGTGCTTGTTAAAAATAAATCTCAAATTTACTTAATTAATTTTTTTGCATATTGTAGTATTTAATTTTTTAATTATTACTTATAGAATTATGAAAAGTTACAAGATGAAGTACGAATGCTTCAATGCCTAAATCACAAAAATATTGTTAAGTATGCTATATTTTATTTTTAAATCTCAATGTATCTAGGACAACAATATTTCTAGGGAAAAATTTGTAATGAGGGCAATTTCTTTGTTTTATGTTTCTCGTGCAAAAATGTTTCTTGTTTTATGTTTCTAGGGTAATATATAATTAAAAATTTATTATTGATTTTTTTGATTGTAATTCTTTTTTAAATAATAATTTTAAAAACAAGTTTTTAAAGAAAGTTTTAATACTTGAACATTTTTTTAGCAAATATTGTTTAAAAAAGTTGTTCAATGATAAAAAAGCAATTTTCCAACCTCAATCTTTAAGAGGTCGGCATCTTGACAGGCAAAAAAAAATTGATACAAAAGTCTTACCATAAAACATAGAAACAAGGTCGGCACTTTTTTGCTGACCTCCAACACTCTAAAATTGGCAGTTAGGTTGGTATTACCAAATGCCGACCCTGATTCCGAGGGTTCTATATACATATATATATATATATATATATATATATATATATATATATATATATATATATATATATATATATATATATATATATATATATATATATATATATATATATATATATATATATATATATATATATATATATGTTGTATATGTTGTATATGTTATATATATATATATATATATATATATATATATATATATATATATATATATATATATATATATATTGTATTTTTTAATTGTTCATGTTATATTTTTAATTATAGGGTTTCTATTAGTTCAACTTAATTTTACAAATTATATTTTAATATTTTAACTGAGGATGGCTATGTTATAGTCCGAACATGTATTTATAAATTAAATGGTTTCAACAAAAAATAAAAAAGTTATCTTATTTATTCAAACATTTACACATTTTGTGCTGAATATAAACTTTGGAAATAAATGATATAGCACACAAGTACTATTTGTGCTCATCACAATCAGTGATGAGCACAAATAAAAATATACACAAATAAAATAAGCACAAAATAACAAGCACTATCAGATTTCCCCGCATTCACCCTTAGGTGCTTCTGATCACGGTTTTATCTCTCTAAAACTGTTATCTCATTCTTCTTCATCATCAGAATTCCCCTATCATTGTATGTCTTACAACTACCTTAAAGCTGACTAAGACTCTTTCAGCGAATTTTCTTCTTGATGGCCCTTGGGGGAAAATTTTTATGTCAAGACAATATACCTGTTATAGCCTTGCAGAAGTGTTCTCTGGAGTTATTATCTATACTTTCAAAACTATTTAACAAATGCTTAGAGCCTTGTTTTCCAGACTGCTGGAAAACCGCATCTGTTATCCCTAATTTTAAAAACTCTGGATAGCAGTCTGATTCATTTAACTACTGTCCCATTAGTCTTCTTTCTATCATAAGCAAGGTTTTTGAGTCTTAAATTAATAAACACTTTATCTCTCATCTTGAATCTAATAACTTACATTCTGATCATCAATATAAATTTCGATCTTCTCATTCTAATGGTGATTTTTTAATGATAATAACTGATGGATTTTATTGTGCATTAGATAGATGTGGAGAGGTTAGGGATAGATAGTTTTTATATATTTGACCCTTAAAAAAAAATTTATAAAAAATATATAAAAACTATCAACTTTTCAATATTTTGGTTTTAACGAAATCTTCACATACTACTCATAAACTAGTTAATCATTTCTAATCAACATATATTTTTTGATCAATTTAAAAAATTAATGATAAAGAAATTTTTTTCTTAAAAAGCAATTTCAAAACTGAAAAAATCATCTTTTCAGTAATTTATTATATAAAATTTTTAAAACATTTTTCTAAAATATTTTGAATAAATATAATAATTTTGCCTGCAGTCTTGATTATGGTTAATCCGGCAATGCATATGCAGTTTTAAGTGCATTAACCACTTTGGTATATTAGCACTTTCATAACAGAATTTTAAAAAAATTATTGATTTGAAATTATAGTTAGATAAACAAAATAGTTAAATGTAATACAAACATTTTAAAGTAACTTAAATTAAATTTATTAAAGAATAAGTTTTCTTTTCTTTAACATAGTTTGAAAATTTTAGCAGTAAAAAAAATTGTAAAACAAAGTGTTTCAAAATTTTTAAAAAAAATTTAATTTAGATTTAATAAATTTGACAAAATTTAACAAAATGTCCGATGGAAACTTGTTTGGGTCAGACAGTGGCCAATCAAATTTTAATGGTTTTATGGAACCGAGTTATGTAATCAAAATCTTTGTCATGTTATTCAGTTTATTTAACGTTAGTCTATTGAAGTTGTAGTTTCTTTCTTTATTATTTAGAATATTTCATTGCAGATTTTTTTTCTTTGATAAAATTGTTTCAATTTAATATTGTATGTTTTTTTTAGATATATTTAAATTTTCACACTATAACTGAAAACGCTTATTTTTTTTTTTTTTTTTTTTCTTTACAATTCAACAATGGCTATTTTGATGTTTTAACAATTTAAATCCAATTAAAAAAATTTTTATATTACAAATAATGATTTAATCATTGATCTTTTTAAAAGTTTTTATTTTATGTGAAGGCTTAAACTCTTTCAGGCCCAAGGTATGACAATTACCTTTATTTTAAAAATTTTTCTCAAGATTTTATATACTATAAGCACGGTTAGCTTAAAGTCATAATTTTTTCCTTGGTCCTTGTTTTAGTTGATATAGAAACTATAACGGGCATATATGTCCGGACAGGCTAAATGGAAGTAAAATATGTACATATACCTATATATATATATATATATATATATATATATATATATATATATATATATATATATATATATATATATATATATATATATATATATATATATATATATATATATATATATTACATTTACACTTAAGCTGCATTTATGTAGACTGTCTGGGTATGTGGAGAGTAGAGCTGGATGGCTAAGTAAGATTAGTTGATTGGTGGTATTGAGTGTAAGGGTAATATTATTAGGTGCTTTTTTGGTGAAAACTTTTTTACAGGAATGAGGAGTTCCATAGCCTGGTAAAATAATTACAAAAGAAATGTTTCTATATAAAACAAAAAACTTTGTATATTACATATAATACTTTCTAAAAAAAATTCTTTTAACATTTATGCATTAATAAACTTTGCATGCACTGCACTTTATGAAAGGTCATGCATTGATTTTCTTTTTGGAGCATACTTTGTACCTTCCTCAATTAGAACTATGGTCTGGCCAATGGGTGCCAAGATTTTCCTTCTGAATTGATTCTGGAATATAAAACTTTGATTATCTTCTTTTGTTAGTGACAACTTGCATGATCAACATAATGAAATTGGTGGTTTACCTATTGTTACTAATGATTGTGCCACTAATCTTTGAAAATTATGAAAACTAATATTATTATAATTTCTTGTAGACAACATAAGCATTGCAAACAGTCCTATCAATTAGACCAAAAGAATGCTGTGCCACCATGTTACAGATTTCCTAGATGTACCATAAAGAGAACAAAGCATAGCAGCTTTGTCAACAACCCCCATGTAAGTTTTATAGTCTTTTACCACCTGAGGACATAAAATCATCACAATGCTTATCCATCCATTTATAAACTACAATTTTATCTTTAGAAACTTATCTTTAGTAATGCCATTTTATTATTTTCATTGTTTGAATTAGAAGAAAAACTTAGCTCATTGTCATCTTCCTCAGCTTGAGTTCAGTCTACTAATACAAAATATTCATCCTCTGAATCTGATAGTTCCAGATCACTGTAAATTTCTATTGGAATATCTTCTAAAATAATATTCGCAACTTCAGCAGCAGAGTAGTATCTTTTTTGACTCATTTTATTCTTTTTTACTGAAGGATTGCACCAAATAAACATTTCATACAAAAAAAGACTTCAAAAAGCTTGATGGGAAATATTTGTCCCACAACTAATTACCAAAAAAAAAACAATACAAGAATGATAATGTAGATATAAAAAAAAAAAATCGGACAATGTCCGATGTCCAACCATTAAATTGAGCCCTCTATATAAATATATGTAAATATTTTTTTACATATATTTATATACAAGGCTCAATTTAATGATGAGGAGGCTACTTATACTGCGTTTATTACCTACCGCGTGTATATATATATATATTAGTTATAGTTGTTTTATTTTTACCGTTAAACACATAGATGTTTTAATTGCATAAAAAATTATAATTTTAATATGTAAAATAAAATAAAGAAAGGTCACTGAAAATGTTGACCTAAATTATTAAATTGTTATACAATTAAGTGCAATTATGTTGAATTATGTTTTCCAATGATTAGTAACAAATATTTAAACAAAAGTTTGTAGTTTTTTGTATTTAATTTAATGTATTGATTTAATGAAATTTCCTTTGTCAAAAATATAGTAAAAATAGTTTTGGTTTTTAGTGGTCTAATTTTTGTGAATAGCAAGCTGTTGTCACAATTTATAATTTAATATTTGAAGGGCTACTAATTTTAAGGTTTAATTATTTAAGCTACAATTAGGACGTCTTACATTTTGGTTGCATACTAGTTTTAAACAAAAAATTTTTGATGCAATGGCTTAAAGCAGAAACATTGTTAACAAAATCTATTTCTGTAGGAATTGTGAAAAATGGATGTCAGAAAAATTATTGATAAATAATTTTTTATGTATGTTTGTTACTGATACAAGCATTTTATTGAGGGAACAAAACATATTCTTGAAAAAACTGGCTGAACAGATGTTATAAAGTTTTGCAGAAATTAATAAAGAAATTTAAGAAACAGTTTTTTTAAGTTATAAAAAGAAAAAACTAGTGAATAATTCAACATATTGAATGAACTTACAGATATAATCCTTGCACACCATGTGCAAGGGTTATAATGTTTGTCAGATCTTTTGATATTGTTTGATGCATGTATCTATTTACGGTATGAAGCATGTGTACACAGTTGAATGTATTTTGCATATGTTGTATGCAACATGTCCAAACTTATTT